GGTCCTGTGCGGCTCCTGCACGCCACCAGGGGAGCCCAGGCCCGGCTGTGGCTGCCCTGGGGGGTGGCGCCCTGAGGGGACACCCAGGATTTCTTGGCATCAGTGGTGGTGCGTCTCATGCCATCTGAACTTGCTCCGCACAGTCTCAGGGAGGCTACTGTGCCCAGCCAAGTCTGAACGCCAGGCACCCGGCGGACGCCTGAGAGTTGTCCTCCTCCGCCTCCTGCCGTGGCCTCCGTGTTGGGCCCGATCTGTGGGTTTCTGCCGTGGCCTCAGTGGCGAGAGGGCGTGGCAGGCCCTCTGGCACCAGCACCCCTGGCAAGAGTGAGGAGGTAGAATCTGGGGACCCCAGGGCTCCAGGGTTGGCCGAGAGTGTCCTGTGGGCTCCTGAGCAGCCTTGCATCGCAGAGTCTCATGGATGGCGCAGTGGCTCCTAACCAGGCCTCCTGGGCTGCCCCACACTTCGCGTTCCTTGCGGGGATCTGGAGTCACACCAGTGGGACGTGGTGACGCCGATTCTCTCGATTCTCTCATGGCCAGAAGCTGCCCGAATGGCAGACCTGCAGCTAGAACTGGCTTTTTAAAAACAGGAAAGCAAATTAGTACAGAGTCCGCGCACTTGCTCGTAGAAAGATGACTCCGCAGTGTCCACCCACCGGGAAGAGCAAATCGATTGGAAGTGTCCTCAGGGGGAGGACAGCCCTTATTTCAGTGAATAAATGCCTTCGAACAGCACCTCGGTGCCACACCCTGTGCTGGGGGTGGGGGTGCGGACAGTGCTGCACAAGGGAGAGGCCCTGCTCCCAGGGAGCTGAGGTGCTGACTGTGGGGACGGACAGTGAACCTGGAAACAAAAGTGACCTCCTCAGGCGATTCATAAGTGGTAGTTGACCATTTAGGTATCAATAACAGGGGGTTGGGCCCTCGCTGGTTTGGCTCAGTGGATAGAGTGTTGGCCTGTGCACTGAAGGGTCCTGGGTTTGATTTTGGTCAAAGGCACATGCCTAGGTTGAGGGCTCAATCCCTAGTAGGGGATGTGCAGGAGGCAACTGATCAATGATTCTCTCTCATCATTGATGTTTCTCTCTCCCTCTCCCTTCCTCTCTGAAATCAATACAAATATATTTTCAAGAATAACAGGGGATTATTAATTATTAATAACACCCACACTTTGGACCATTTTTGTAGCCAATAGACACATGGTTTTTGAAGAATATCTAATGACATGGTTCATTCAGCAAACAGTAGTTGAGCAGCCACGCTGGGCCAGGCTCTATCCTGGGCTCTGGAAACAGCAGGGAGCAGCGGAGGGGAACTGTCCTGGAAGTTCCATCCTATTTAGGGAGACAGTTAAGAAGTGGAAAAATACGCCAACAGGAAAAGGTCAGATGGAGACAACAAACAGGGGACATGTTAGAGGTGCCTGGGAGAGGGGAGGGGGCTGCTGTGGCCAGAGTGATCAGGGAGGGCCTCTCGGAGGAGGTGACCCAGAACAAAGACCTAACCAAGAGGTGACCAGTAGGTGAAGATGAGGAAGCTTTGTGGAAACTTAGGACCAGCTAACCTTTCCTTAGAGCTACAAATGGGGAAACTGAGGTGATGTGGCTTGTTTGGACGTCGGCGGCAGAGCTAGACTGGAACCCAGGACCCTGGTCCCCTGGACAGTGCTTTCCCACTGCGTGTTCCATTCTGGCTCTCAGCAGGTGTCCCTTCTGAGGGTTTTTATGGACCAAGGCCATAGAGAAGATGCATCTCTCCATCAGGACTTCAGGATTTCTGGAAGTCCTACTATGTGCACAGTACTAGGCCCAGAGCCGCAGAGTGTAACAGACTCAACTGTGAATTAGCCACACCCACGCAGGAAAATGAAAGCAGCAACACGAGAGAGCCTGGATGTGGACACAGGGCCCTGAGATGTCGCATGTAGGGATGAAGGGATCCCAGGAGGAGCGGTCACTACACTCTTTTATTGACGGGGCTCCTCAGCCCCAGCTCCTGGCACGGGAACCCAGGGAGGGGAGGAGCTCTCTTGTCTTGCACCCAGATTGGGGGTGGCCCAGACCTTCAAAGAAGCCCAGCCCTGGATGCAGCCACAGGAATGATATGAGACCAGCCTCACCCCTGCTCATTTCTGTTCCTTGTTGCTTTGCCCCCCCCACCCGCCCTTGCTGCCTTTGATCTCAGTCCCACTGAGCTTGGCCTGGTTTGAGGTCTCCTGCTGTGACGCCCCAGGCTGGGTCTCCGGCTCACAGGGACTCTCTCTCTCTCTCTCTCTCTCTCTCTCTCTCTCTCTCTCTCTCTCATAGCCTGGATCTGGCCTCCTGCCTGCCGGGCTGTGGCAGCAGGATCCCTCAGGACCCAGCGGGAGGTAACAAAGGAAGAAGGTAACTTTGGGCCAGATCATCGGGGAGGGTTTTGCAGGCCAAGGGCGGCCAGGCAGATGCACATTGATGGGTGGTGAGAGCGTCTCGTTCCTGGGATCTGAGTGGCTTGTGAGACCTGAGAGGGGCGGTTGTCGGTAGTGGTCAGGGGTCCAGGCTCTGGGTGGGACCTGTTGACACTGCACTCTAAGCCATTGTCTCCCTGGGTAACCGTGGCCAAGTTCCCGAACCACCGAGTGCCTCGGTTTGCTCATCTGTAAAACGGAGTTAAAAGATTAGCCACTTGGCAGGGTGGGTGTGAGGATTCAATGAGGAAATGCATGTGAAAGTGCCCAACACTGTACGCACTCTGAACTGTGGCTGGCATCGATGCTAAAGGCTCGGCTGACTTTGGCAGGAACCAGCCAGCCCTTTGGAAGCGCAGCTACACCCATCATCAGAGCCTCTTTCCTGCCTTCTGCATGGAGCCATCTGCAAGGATGCTGGCCTGCATCCTTGTTCGCCTTTCTCCTCCGGCTCCTGGCCCAGGTTGGGTCGGAGGGACTGCCACGGATTCTTCCTTTTCCCTGCACCCAGCCTCTGTCTGCCCTCGCTTCTCTAGCTCCAGGCTGTCCAGTGGATCTTCCAGCCCTGCTCAAAGTCTTCCACGGCTTTCCATGACTGCAGACGAAATAGCAACCTCCTCGGCTTTACGTTTAAGACCCTTGGTAATCTGACCTTTTCTTCAGTTTTCAGCTGTGGGTGGGTCCAGGAAGTTTCAGCCTGAGTTTGAATCTGGGCTCTGCAGCATCTGAGCTGGGAAACATTGGGAAATGCACCTGGGTTTTCTTACCTGTAAAATGGAAATAATTATACCGGCCTCATCGGCTTCGCACGGGCATTTGAAGATCAGATGAGCGGGGGTGTGGATACTGTTTGTCCCTGGAGATGGACTCGGTGTGTTTGGACCACACAGTGGTTCCCTTTCTCGGGACCTTTGTTCTCGTCACTCCCTCGCCTGGAACACCTGGTCCCCCTCATTGTCCAAACGGGTACATCATTCAGAGCCCAGGGCAAATGCCACGTCCTCCGTGAAGCCGCCTCACGGCCCTCCTGACATGGTCCCTCTCTCACGTTTCCTGTCATGCTGCTCACACCTCTCTCAAACACCCGTGACGGCCTCACTTACCACTTGTCCTCCTGTGCCTGCCCCATCTCCTTAGAGTGCGAGCTCCTGGAGGGCAGGACTGTACTGCAATCAGCTCTGCTTTTCCCATAGCACCTTATACCCCCACCCAGTAGGTGCTTGGTGAGTACTCATTAAGAGGATAGGTGACTGGACGGACGGATGTGGGTGGAGTGATGGTGCACTGAGGCCAGGAGATGGGCCTGGTCCCCGCCCGGGGCCTGTTCTATGACTCTGGATGGCTTTGCCATTTCCCACACATGGCCCAAGTTTTCACAAACACGATGGACCCAGAGTGCGTAGATAGGGAGGACTTTGGGGCAGACATCTGATTGGAGGTTAGGGAGGGGGCTTGTCTGAAAGCTGTGTTATGAGCGTACACACACACACACACACACACACACACACACACACACACACGTACACACGTGCAGGTTAGGTTAGGGGCGGAGCTAGTCCCACAACTAAACCAGGGAGTGTGGATGAGTCAGTATCATTCCTCACTCACTCCTGTTGTGGGGAGTCTCCAAAGTGCTTTCCTGGGAGGGGGCGGGGTGGGGGGAGAGGAGAAGGGCTGCCTGGGAGCTGGGGAGGTAACTCCTGGTGACCTGAGTGATGCCCCGCCCACAGGAGCACCTGATTTATTATCGGGACTGAAACACTCGGGGGAACAAAGGGCCCCGGGGACATTTGTGACCCAGCTGCTCCCTCTGCATCGTGAGCCAAGGCTCTGCACTCCATTCTCAGGACCTCCCCTCCAAACCCGCCCCCCACTGCTATGTTCTGGGGCCACACATTCCTCAGACACGGCTGAATCCTAAGTATTTTAATGCCTGATATCTATCTCCGCATGGATTTTTGTTTTATCGTGAGGCCACGGGGGAGTTTTTTTGGCTATCTCTTTGAAACAGATGTCAGCAAAAGCTTCCAGCACAGATCAAGGGCAGGTTAAGGCCTTTGAGATGGGTCTGAATGTCCCTTTAACATCGTCCGATCTACTACCCAAACATACCTCGAGTCGTGGCCCTGTTTTTGTAAGAGGCTCTGAACCATATGTTGGGGAACTAATTAAGCATACAAATCAAGCCCTGGGATCAGGTGGAGTTCTGTTTCAACATCTTAACCTTTTATGATTATCTTAATTTAGAGAAAATTCAAAACACATTCAGAAGTCTTAGAAAATGAACTAACTAGGAATTTACTGGCCGGTTTCTTTTCTTGATGTTGGGATCACGGCTTTCTAAGCCCAGCTTGGATTCGGGGGAAATCCTCGCGCTCACAGCTTCCCAGGAAACGTAGGCGTTTGTTGGCCTGGGACGCGCAGGCGGGGCCACACCTGACTCCCCCAACCCCCTCCTCCGCCAGGCCCCTCGCCCCAGCCCAGATGTCTCCTGTTTGCCAGAGGCAGGGCGAGCAAAGAGTGGACTCTGAACCTGGAAGTTCTATCTTCCTTGTTTAATAGAGTAAATGAAGTATGAAATGAACTGGTGTGAAATATCCTTACAGCCCATGTTGTTTCGGGGGACGCCGTGGGGGGAGTTCAGGGCACGGGCTGAGATGGAAGCTGCACAGATCTGGCTCCATGTTGGTGGCAGGTGGTGGCGAGAAGGCGAGAGCTGCAGGCTGCCCTCCTTCTCCGTTCCTGGCAGATTCTGGTGGTGGAGGGTCGGGGTGTGGTCACTGGGGCTCTGTCTTCTCACCTACCTCAGGTGACAGAGATGCTTGATCTATAAAGAATGTTTAAAGGATGTGTACTGCCCGGCCGGTGTGGCTCAGTTGATTGAGTGTTGACCCATGAACTGAGAGGTCCCGGGTTCGATTCCCAGTCAGGGCACTTGCCCAGGTTGCGGGCTTGATCCCCAGTGAGGGGCATGCAGGAGGCAGCTGATCAATGATTCTCTCTCATCGTTGATGTCTCTATCTCTCTTTCCCTCTCTCTTCCTCTCTGAAATAAAAAAACATATATATATATATATATATATATATATATATATATATGTATATATATTTTAAGTATGTGTACTTATCAAATCTGATTGACTTATAACAAGGTCTTATGATCTTTTAGCAGATCATATTTTAATACATCTTTATTGAATACTTAGAGACCAGCTTCTTGCATCTGGGCACTGGGGATTCAGTGAGTGAGTGAGTCTTTACCAGGATATGAAACTGTCGCCAACGCAGGGGCCCAGTTAGTGTACCAAGGCTGAGTGTGTCTCAAAAACACTTTTTCTTAGTGATCTTAGAACCATTAAACTGTTAGAATAGGGTTCCCAGATAAAATACAGGATGCCTCGTTAAGTTTTAATTTCAGGTAAACAATAAATACTTGTTTACTCTAAGTATGGTCCAAAGAATGCATGAGACATACTCACACTAAATATTTGTTGTTTATCCGAAGTTCCAATGTAACAGGGTAGCCTGCATTTTTATTTGACAAGCCTTGCAGCCCTACTTTAGCAAAAAGAGATCCATCAATGGGGACCCTGTCTCAGCCTGGGGTGTTAAATACTAATTTTGGAAGAAGGCAACCCGATTCCACCTCTTACCAGGCCTCCTGGCTTACATTCTTTCACTGGAGCCGCACCACAACTCCATAAAGCGGGCTCTATTACCATCCCCCATTTTGCTAGGAGTACACGGAAGCTCAGAGAGGTTAAGTGACTTGCCCAAGGTTGCCCAGCCTGGGTTCTTTTCATGGCAGCCCAATGCCAAGCTGGTGATGATCTCTGCAGAGTTCTTATATCTCTAGCTGGCCCTGGCTTCCCTCAACGTCTTCCCCTTTCTCTCCACAAATGTTCCAAGGAGAGATTCCCTCCCGTCAGACCCATGTCACCGCCGTAATGAAAACCACCACCCAGGCCCACGAAGGACGAAGTCTGCCGAACCCTAATGAGAATGGTTCCGATTATGCAAAAAGCAACCTCATGGTTATTCTAATGTTACAAGTAAATATAAAACATTTAGAAATACTTGGCTTGGGCTGTTTTTTTCAAGTGCAGATGTCTGACTCCCTGCCAGTTTGTTATTAAAAATGCTACGGTGGTTTGGGTACGAAGATTGCTGTAAAAATAAAAGCTGATGCGCCCCGAGCACTCGTTTCGACTTTGCAGAAAAAGTCGGCAACCAGGAGGCTGGAGCAGATGGTGGCTCATGGCGGCTCTAAAGTGGGCACCCCGTATTCAGAGCTCAGTCACTACCCTGCCCCCGAACCTGCAGGTGCGTCCCACTGCACCTCACATCCCAGCTCAACCCCCTCTCCCTTGCCTACTGGCTTCTTCAAGTGTCCACACGGGTGCACTTGCTGCATTGCCTCCACCCCCCATCCGCTGGCTCCTTCTCGGCCTCCATCCTCCAGGCCCTCTCTGACCAGCTTCCCTGACGTGACCGTCCACCTCCTGCCCCCGGTCACTCTCTATCACGTCACTTGTCTTCCTTCCTTTATAACTCGCTGAAATTATCTTGTTAACTTTCTTTGCCATCAAAAGGTAAACCACATGAGGGCGGGGATCCTGTGTGTTTTGTTCCCACACTTTGTACATACAGCAGAGTAAAGCACATACATAGCAGTTGCTCAATAAATTGGTGAGCAAACGAATGGATTTGCCAAAGCTCCTGAAGTCTTACATTGCATAGTCCCCCCACCCGCCTGGGTCCACGGGCCAGAAGGAAAGTGGCAGCTTCTTCTACACATTTTAATCAACTCACGGAAACCACTGGAAAGTGGGGGCACCCTCTGCGAGCAATGATTTGGAGGCCAGCAGGAATTCCCAGGATGGCGCAATTTCCAACCTGAGCCATGGAGACTGCTTTAACTTGCGGTAGCACTTGCCGTGTCTGCAGGAGAGTGTAAAAGGGTTAAAAGACGGAGGGGCCCAGACGCACCGACATAAGTATTGTCACCCCAGTAATCTTGCTCTGACAAGCAAATGCGTTGATGTGGCCAGAACAACGTGGGGGGCATGGGAGAGGGAGCGCTCCCCGAGGCTTAGTCCTTAGTCCTCAGTGGATAGAGCATCGGCCTTCAAGGCCTTCACACGCTGGTTCAATCTTCTGAGACTCCATCTCAGGCCTCTCTTTACGCAGCCTGCATTCCACGGGTCCTGAGTTATGTCTCACACCCGCCCCTTTCCTCTCTCTGTGCCTTGACCTACCTAGAATGCCCTTTCCCCATCTGTGCAAATGCAAAGCCTACTCATTATTCAGGGCCAGGTTCAAAGATCATCATCTTTTAAAAAAAAAAAATAATAAATTATATATATATATATATATATATATATATATATATATATATATATATAATTTTTTAAATTTTTTTTACTGATTTCAGGAAGGAAGGGAGAGAGAGAAACACCAATGATGAGAGAGAATCATTGACTGGCCACCTCCTGCACACCCCCTACTGGGGATCGAGCCTGCAACCCGGGCATGTGCCTTTGACTGAATCGAACCCGGGACCCTTCAATCTGCAGGCTGACACTCTATCCATTGAGCCACACCGGCTAGGGCAAGCATCATCTTCTTAACCTTTGATCACATCTAACCCTACCTGGCAGTGACTTCTCCCTCTCTGAACTCCCTGGATGTTTTTCCTTTCCTTTTACATCAAGCCCGACTTCATGCGCCTAAGGTCAGGAGCTGGGCCTCATTTTCTGCCCTCCATGGCCTGGCACTGAAGCTCAGTGATAAATGAGTTCATGGCATTTCTTGGGCACACACAGCCTCCAGTGGTCAGCTGGGGGCCATAACGGGGCCGTGCCAGGATGCTAGGCGTGATCAGAGACCATGACTGTATTGTTCCTTTTCCCAAGAGGGATCGTGATAGGGATGTGACTTATGGGGTGTCTACAGGACCCCACGTGTCCAGACAAAAGGTCCAGAAAATGGACTCGGCTTTCTCTTTTCCGTTCAGATGCTTTCCTTTCGGGTGGCCAAAGCCTGAGACAGCCGAATCCCTGGGCGCTCGACGGGCCTTCCCATTCCCAACTTTCCTAACCGTTTCCTTCCAAAACTCTGTCCAGATGAAAAATCCCTGAAGAGACTCAAGTGCTAACGCCGAACACATGAGTCCGAGAACAGAGATCTGGGTGGAAACAAACCCCCGGCTGTTGCCAGGTAAATGCTGTCAGATCCACACATGCACACATGGCTACCTCAGGCGGGCTGTGCGCAGAGCGTGCACTTCACACGGGCCCACGTTCACCTTTCGGAGACGGTGACTGGTTTCAGAGAATCTCACTCCGATGAGGCCAGGGATCCTCCCTTTCTGCAGGATCCAGGAGAACTGGAACTGTCTGGGAGCAATGTGGTTTTCAAATGAAGCCCAGTGCAAGCTTTTGATCTGTCTCGGGCACTGCGCACGCATGTGCAATCCGACTGAATCGCCGGGCTGAGCTGAAACACGCCCCTCACGTACCGAGCCTGGATTTACGATTTTGCTTTGGGACACACACACACACACACACACGTATTTGGAGTTTTCTGCACACACAACACGTGGAGAGGTGAAGTGGGAGCGCTGTGATCTTTCTCACACCCAAGTGTGGCCTTGGCAGCTTCGGGGCCATTGTCATATTTTCAACCAGCGATCGCTGTTCTCGAGCGGCCTATAAAAATGTTTCCCCGAACTCATTGTGAATTGCAACAGGAGGAAACACTCCATCACGGGAAAGTGACACTAATGTATTCTATTAGATTTTCTTATCATGTTAAAGAGCGTATTAAAAGGAAATGTTTGGAGAAGGGATGCCATAACGTGGTATGATGGATTGAGAATTCCTAATTTGGAAAAAATGTGCTAAGACGACATGATTGATGGGAGTGACCTACTTTATTTTATAGGAAAGTATGAGTTGCCTCGGGCTCATGGGTACACATATTTGGAAAAAGTTGTTTTTTTTCCACATTAAGTTTTTATTAACATTTTCAAAAAGAGCAGAAACACCATAGAAGGATATAAGCTGTGACTTGTCAATGCAGATGTGTTTGCAGTCATTTGCTGCTTAGAAAAACGTATCCCCTGGCAGGAAGGGCTCCTGAATCAGGGGTTTCTTGCCCAGGGAACACCTGACAGGGAGAAATATGACACCCTTTTCACTGATAAAAAATGGCAGGGGAGAGTGTGTTTTGTTGTTGTTGGTTTGTTTTTAAAGCACAAGTAGATCTTCTGCTACTTGGAGGTGTCACTCTCGAAGAATGTTTAACATTTCATGGAGGCCCCCCGGCCAGCCCATGCCCCTTTAGGCCGCAGAGAGCAAACGATGGAGGCCGAGTTAACTATTTTATTTCTACGTGAGACGTGGCAGCCCGAAGCTGAGGGTCTGAAGCCAGGAACTCTTGGGGTTCATCCCAGGAAGCAGAAGAAACTACGGATGCTCTGGCAGAGGGTGGGTGGCTGACCAAATATTCTGTTACCATGAAAAGGATGTTGCCAGTGAGTTTAAGAACTTAAGAAACGCCTATGATGATGTTTATTGAAGAAAGTAGAATGTGAAGAAAAATGTGCATTAAAAAGCGGAGGTGGAAGAATAAATTGGCATGAGTTTTCTGGAGGGAAATGTGTCCATTTGTCCCCAAAGCCTTAGATTTCTGCATGCCTTTGGGCCCCGAAATTCCACTTCTAGAAATTTCTCCTTAAGGAATAGCCACAAATATTTGCAAAGATTTAGGTAATAAGATGTTCATTATAGATTTATAATATTAAAGAGTGGACTCAAACTAATTACCTGAAGTTAAGGATTGCTTGAATAAATTCATACATTTAATACAGCTGTTAGAATGATAACAAACTCATAACGTGGAAACGATTTATGGTTTATTAAGTAGGAAATGTGGGTTAGAAAACATGCATCTTATGGTGCTATTTGAACCGCCATAAATACATATAGTCTACTTCAGTAGATATTGTTATATACAATGATACTCTTCTTAAATATTTACAAGTATGCATATTATATATATTTTTCCCCAAAACGTTAAGAATGACTATTTCTAAAGAGTAGATTTTACAAATACCGTTTGTTTCCTTTTGTGTGTCTTCATTTTCTGCAATAGACACTCTTTACTTCGGTAATAAGTAAAGCAGTTTTTACATGGAAAATGCAAGAGACTCAACTGATTTCCTAATCGAAACAATAAGAGAGTTCACAAAGATTCCCAGATGCAAACTAAATAGTTTTCTCATCTAATAGTAATAACAAATTGACAATATAAAATGAAAAATTATTGCATTCGCTATAGCAAAAACAAAACAAAGCATAAATCACTCACAAAACTGAAAATACAATGACTAATGCGTGCAAGAAATATCGAAAACTTGCGTAGAAGCAAATATCGCAGCATATTAAAGAAACGCAAAACGAAGTGAATTCTTGCATTTTTGCTTGGGATGACTACGTATTGGGGAGATGTCACTTCTCCTCCAAATTTGTTTATAAGTTTCAGGCAATCCCAGTGCATTTTCTGGTGAGCAAAACCGGCAAGTTGAAGGACCTAGGTAAGCTTTCCCGTGCCAGTTCTCAGGCTGGTGGCCTTCGACTTTCCCACCAGAACATTCCACTCTGAATCCTCAGGCCGGGGCCTCTGGACCCTAGTGAGGTGAGGTCCGGCCCAGCAAGCACCAGGCAGTGCTGGGGACAGACCTCACCAGGGACAGCCACCGACACGGGGCCAGCCTGGGAGCTCGTCAGGGGAGGGCTGGGCCATGAACACACACACACACAACCCGGCAAGTTGGTTCTAACTATTATCTAAGAAAATAGGTACATCAGAATTGGCAGTTTTTATAAAACAAAACAAAAAAATAAATAAATAAAATGAGAGGGCACTTGCCCTACTGGCTTTTCAAAGATATTACAATGTCAGAGTAATTAATCATTATGATAATGTGGTAGGAATACCGAATAAGTTAATTAATAAAATAGAATGTAAGCCAGGATAAAATAGCTTAATGGGGAATAAGAGGTACATGTGCGGATCTAGTAGGTGATAAAGGCTATACTCCGATCTGTGGAGAAAAGCTACATTGTTCCGTAAACAGTGTTGGAATAATTTTTTATCCTTTTGGAGGGGGGAAAGTGGATTTCCACCCCATGCCCCATTCACAGAAAATATTTCAAATGTATTCAAGATGTACACATTTAAAAAATTATAAAAGTTGCCAAAGAACCTAAAGAATAATAATTTCATCATCTGGGGAAAGAGAAAGACCTTTCTTAAAAAGAGATAAAAACCTCACAGTCCATAAAGGAAGAAGTTTATCAATTTTGCCTGCCTAAGTATTTAAACTGTTGAGATGGGAAACACACACTCTCCTCAGATGACAAACTAGGGGAAAATGTAACTTGTATGGCAAGCAATCCACCAAGGGCTTTACTATATAAAGCATGATTTTAAAATAAGAAAAAGGCCATCGTTCCAATAGAAAAATTGGGAAGACATGAGCAAGTTTTACACAGAAAAACTACAACTAGCTACTAAACACACACATACACACACACAAGAGATGCTCAACCTCAGTAATAATCAGTTTAAAATCAGGAAAAAAAATTGCATTTTCATTCATCGCCATCGACATTTTAAAAAGGAATGATAGCATTCACCTATTGAGGGTGTGAAGACGTATTTTTGTTCAGTTATTCCAGTTCAGGGGAGTTACTCTGTGGAAACAGTCACAAGATGTCCCACTGGATGCTGGAATACTATGCAGTCGGTTGAAGGAGGAGGCAGACGTCTGCCTCAACAGAGGGGAAGTCTGGGAGACAGTGTATCCTTACGATACACTAGAGGCCTGGTGCACAACCTTCGTGCACTGGGGAGATGGGGAGGGTGGTCCCTCA